GAAATAGCTTCAAAATTCAAACTAAAAATGCTTACCTTTCTTGCTTGAAAGTGCCGGCCCTTGGAGGAAGAAGAAGCTGAAATTGCTCTTCCATGATTGATAATTTATGATATATTAATCCAACACATGCTTAATAATATATCATAATGGAATGTTTTTAATCCATTCAATAAGAATTTCCATTTTTGCCCTTAATGAATCTCCATAATCACCATAAAACCAAGCCATCTGATATTACAAAGTCAAATATAAATTAATTTGACTTTGACCTACGAAAATGCCATGAAATTTTCAAAACTTGCGTTTTAATCACTAAATTCCACTGTTTCGGTTAAATCTAAAAAATTACACAATTCGAAACCAAATTTATCTGATCCAAAATATTAAAATAATATTTCCAACCATTTTATAGCATCCTTCAAATTTTTGTAAACTTCCAATTCGATCTGAAATTACAGATTCCTTATCGGCTTTAACCTTTTCTAGTTTTTCTTTACTAAAATTCCAAATCCAAAAATATGATTTCTATAAAACTCCACTCTCAAGAGTAAATCATCTATTTATGGAATAAAATTCTTTTTAGGAAATTATCACTTAATTCCCTAAACTTTTTACCAATTTTCTACTTTGACCATCAAACTTTCCAAATTTTTATTTTGGTCATTGTCTAAAATTTTGGGGTGTTACAAAACCAGTTTACTATAGACAGGTGCATTGGTACACTATGAATAGGTACCGATGCACTAAGACCAATTTTGAAGGTGCATCGATACATTAAGGGGTGTATCGATGCATGGGAATTTCAAACCTAATTTGTGTACAGATACACCCATAGTGCATCGGTACACTCCTAAAGGAAATTAGGAATTTGGCTTATTAAATTAATTTAAGTTAATAACATCGAAGTATAAGGTTTATGCTTCTGATAATCATCTTGAAAATTATATTTCTGTAGATATAGAGCCTAAACGAGTTCCGGAACAATCAAAGAATTAGAATCAATTCAAAGCAAAAAAGGCTAAGGTGAGTGCAATTTAATTTGTTCTTATATTATTGATCAAACATTGGCTTGCGATGAGCCATTGACGGAGCTACTATGGTAAGAAGTAACTTCTGAAATGTTATGTGATTCTTATGTCGGCATGAATACATGGAAATGGGTATATGTTATTATATGTGACAATAAGTTATATGATGTGAATGATATAATAAGAAGCTATATGATAAGAAGATATGGGTTTATGTGATATAAAAGTGTATATGTGCAATGTCATGATAGGTGATAAAAACCGTGAGCCTATATGAATATGTGATGTATGGGAAACATATGAGAACAATAAATGACAATGATTTACATGTCATATGAATACAAGAGAAGTGTTATAAGCTAAGTGACATATGATTATGAAATCATATGAAAAGTGAAATGTGCATATGAATAAGTTAAATGATATGAAAGATAATGCCCATGTTATGTGATATGAGAGCTATAGGTATAGTTGGCATGCCAAGAGTCGAGGGTTACCTATGTCTTTCGGGACATATGGACATGATTACCTATGTCTTTCGGGACATATGGACATGATTACCTATGTCTTTCGGGACATATGGACAGTTACTTATGTTCTTAGGAACATATGGATAGGTCCTTCGGGTCATTTATACGAGCTGTGGTGACAGCATAATAGTGTACAACCTCAATGTACTCACATTCCTTAAGTTCTCAGAAGTGTACATGGGCTTTAAAGAGAGTAAATAAATCAATTGATATGATACAAGGTGTGCTCTGTTGTGAAATGATATATGTGCTATATGATATACATAATGATAAGTACAAGATCATATGATAAATTGGTTAATGATAATGACAGAGATTATGATAATGATAGTATATGTGCATGTATGTATTTTATTACATGAAATATTCTATGGTTCTATTATATGTTTTATATGTCTCACTAAGTCAACGACTTAGCGTGTGATTGTTTCACACATAGGTTCCGAGAAGAGGAAGATTGATAAAAGTTATGCCAGACAGGTCAGTTTCTCCTTTCCAAAGATCAGATCAGAAAAGAATTAAATAGTATGTATTTTGTAATATTGATGGTGGTTGGCATGTAAATAAAGATTTGAATCCGATATACTCTAATCGGTTTTGTAAAATCATATGATTGAGTTTTGTAATGTTTTAAACGTATTTATGTAAATGGTAACTTTATAGTGATGAAAGGTTAAGTTTTTATGAGTTTTATGTATGTTTTGCTGAAATTACTATAGCAGTGCATCGGTACATTGTAGCAGTGCATCGATACACATTTTAAATTCGATGTTTTTGTGTATCGGTACACTGTTCATGGTTCTGTAGCAGTGCATCGATACACTATTCATGGTACTATTTAAACAATATCGATACTATTCATATGGTATAGTACTATTCATTAAAAACATTTTTTCCTTAAATTTGTTATAACGAAACATAATTTAATAGTATATTATAGTATTTTCTTAACATAAGTCTGAATGTTTTGTTATTTGTAAAAATATGGTTTTAAACAGTCAATGTGACATCTCGGACTCGTATCCGGGTCGGGTACGGGTTGGGGATGTTATATTTTGTTTAAAAGAACAACGAACTATAAATATTAAAATAAATCATTAAACATTATGTTATAGAGATAAAAACAAGGTAAATAGGACTAACCTTACACACCTTAAACAGTAAATAAAATCATAAACATAGCAGTATACATTATGATGTTTTAATCTTCGTAATCGGTAGACTCATCAGAAGTAATATTAATTTATTCAATTATTCATTTTTTTCTTGTTGTCGTTCACGTACAAATTGGAACCATGCTTCTAGGTCTCCATCATCTATGTTTGTTTCTTCGTCATTTTCCTGAGTTGGTGGGATGTTTGAGCTAGAAGCATCATCCTTAACCATACGAGCAAGGTCGAGATCAGATAACTCTACAAACAAATCGACATTAGACAAATAATGATAGAAGTATGTCTCAATCATACCAACAAGGTTGACATCATCCCTTAGATGAAACCTTGTACATGATAGTGGAAATCTATAGTATAACAAAGATATTCTTCTACTACTTCCGAGTTGAACCCTTGTTTGTATATTGAACTTCAACTCGTCTAATTGAATATTTTGTTCAAAACACATGGTTGAAGATTTACAATTATAAAAAATAATTTCACAAATAATTGCCATGCTTGCAAAAAACAAAAGATTTGGAAGTGAAAGACTAAAGTTGTTTTAGATTTTTTTTTTTGCTTCAAATGAGTAAAATAACTTTCACCTCACACATATTAATAGGCTTATGAGAAGTTTGTGAACTGAAAAATTTCTGCCATGGTGCATTATTTTGCCTATGACAAATGCATGTTTTTCTGATATGAAGTAATATATCACAACTGTAAAGTTTTCTGAAATGAGTTAATAAATCACTGAAAAATTAATGAAGATGGTTAATTGGACACTAAAAAGTATATGCCATATTGCATTATTTTGCCTATGAGAAATGCACGTTTTTCTGATATGAAGTGATATATCACCACTGAAAATTTTTTAAAGATGATTAATTGGGTACTGAAAAGTTTCTGTCATATTGCATTATTTTGCCTATGAGATGATATTTCACTGAAAACCTTTTTGTCACCGAATTGAATGGGCATTGATGATAGCTCGTTTTTCTTTTAAATTGGCTTACTTCATGTAAATCTTCACTAATTCTACTTTCTAAAATTGTATTGAACAACCAAAAACCTTTCTCAAGCTATGTCTAACAAATTTTTCATAGTTGTCCACTCAAATGGCCAAGTTATCCAAACATATGATGTTGTTGTGTTTATGTCAAATAGGTCTGTAAACATGATGTTCCCTGTAGATGTATCACATAGACAAATGAAGGAAAAAATTGAGAGAACATTTGGAGCTTTTGTTTCATGTTTAAGTTATCAACACATACTTTTATAGACTCCGCTCAAATTTGGATCAATCCAGCTTGTTGTTGATGCTGATATAACTGTTATGGTTGACCTGCATCAATCTTTAAATAATCAAATGACTGAGATATACGTTGAAATTGCAGATATTCTTACTTCCTTAACTGTATCATCTGTGACCAAAGAAGCATGATCATCAGAAGATTGAGATAACCTTGTCGAGCAATTCAATGACAGACTTGCTGATTTTAGCAAGGATGATGAAACTTTTGTTCCACTGAAAATACCTCAGGAAAGATGGTCAAAGGCATATGACAATCAGGTTCGACGTTACGATCATATGAGAACCAATCTTTCCAAATGTATCAATTCAGTGCTTAAAGGGGCTACACATCTTCCTGTGGCAAGTATTGTTTGGGAAACTTACTTCAGATTGGATAAAGTATGGGCAGACAAAGGTGCCCAAGTAGAGGCAATGATCAACGAATGTAGAAATTTGGCTCCATATCTAGAAAAAACAATGAACAAAAATCAAACACATATAACATCAATGTATGTTCATAATTTTGATAGACTTGATTCTGATTACGTTGTCCAAGCATTTGTTCGACCACAGGAGGGTGAGAATTATGCCACCTACATCGGTAATCTGAATAGAAGGTGGTGTGATTATGGTCGATTTCAAGCCTTCAAATACCCATGCAGTCTCGTGGTTGTTGCATGTATATATGTGAAGGTAGAGCAATACTCATACATTGATGATTGTTATAACTTGCATATTATGCGCAACATATACAGTTTTGACTTTAAGTATCTCTCAAACGCTGCATATTGGCTCGAACTGTATATGGTGTCGAATCAACCTGAAAATGACATGGACCGATCGGATCCGAATCGAAGCATCAAATTTACTTGACTTGACATGTATCTGATTTTACCCGATCTGACAAGATTTGACTAAAACCTGAACGATGACTTGATTTTACATCCATAATAATGGTGAATGTACTCGGTAGTTACTTGCATTACAAAGCGGCCCAACGGCACTACACAGCTGCGGGCAGAGCGGGGCATGTTTAACTTGTTTACTGTTTTTCTGTCTTGTCCAGCTCACTCCAAGTGATTTACGTGAGTTGATCAGGCCGAGGCCGCAGAGTTTGGTTCGATCAACTTGCTTGCTGGTGCTTTCTCTTGTCTTTCTACATAAGCAGAGGGGAACCATCCAGCCTTGCCCTTGCATTCTCCTTCCGACCACCCACTCTGGGACCCACCTTAATTGTTGTCGAATCACATTACAACCAAACTTATGATTATCGTCGCCTAAAACACCGACGTTAAACATTCAACCTAGCTAGCTAACTAGCACCACACTTAAAAACAGTCCGTACCTGGCGAACCACGACATAATCACCAACTGCTAAGCTTAATTCCCCATCTGCTTCAGCGTCAAATGGGTGTACAACTTGTTAAAAAAAAACACTACCTAAATCATGTTCACAATGGTAAATTAAAAACAATGAACAAAAAGAAATTGTAAATTAAGAACACTTCAGTCTCCAATGAATGCTTCTGATCAATACTCTGGGCAATTTTTAGTAAAATGTATTGGTTGTCGACGTACACCTGTTTCAGAAGTTTCTGAAACTTTTATACTTACTTTATACAGAGAATACATTCCTAATGTTAATTTAGTTACTGAGAGGGGCAAAAGAGAAAAAATAAAAAGAAGTCCAAAAGCTAAACCTTTGCTATGAAATATACATCGCTTTGTTTGTTTCCCTGAGCTTCAGATCTATTTGAACTAATGTTATCGTGTGCAATGGAGACATTCACCTCTCTCTCCGATGTTGCTGAGTTTAATGATTCATTCTTCTGCTCCTCTAGAGTCATCTATTCGGTATTAAACTTTGATCACAACCTTCAGGATATGCAATAAATAAGGGAAAAGTGACGGTAGTTTGGCACCCAGAACTAACGTTATTGTGTACAATGGAAACATTCACCTCTCTCTCCGATGTCACCGAGTTCAATGATTCATTCTTTTGCTCCTCTAAAGTCATCTATTCAGTAGTAAACTTTGATCACAACCTTTTGGATATGTAATAAATAAGAGAAAAGTAACAGCAGTTTGGCACCCAAAAAATGCCATTGCACTAGGATGGTGATGCCTATAGATGTCATGAGAAAATAACACAGCCAAGGGAGATTATTAAGTACAAACCTCAGCATATAGCTTCTCTAAAATAGCAAGAACATGTTGATGATAAGATTTTGAGGCATCAACCCACAAAACGATTCTGGTGAGGACCAGGGATCTGAGCATTACAAGTAGGGGTGATGAGCATTGAAATCATAATTCACTCAAGAATCAAGAATAAATTCACTTTCACAAACAAGTTTTAAACATCAGAATCAGACTTACAATGCCCTTGTGATGCAACCACGAAAGGAAATACCTTTGCTACTACCACCTTATACACACACACATGCAAATACACATATTATATAGGATTATCATTTGATACACCGGTAGTGCAGTTTTTCCCTCCGGCCTCCACAAGTGGCTTCAATCCACCGCCATGTGTCCTTAATCAATATTTAAATAGACAATTAAGGACACTTAGTGGTGGACTAAAGTCGCTTGTAAAGAAAAAAATACCAGCCTCGGTGTATCAAATAAGTATCCTATTACATAACGTATGTATATATATACTATATATATATTCTCACTCTATGAGAACAAACACTTCATGCAGGGGAGTGTACCATGTCAAACATGGACATGATTTTGACACGATAGAGTACAGGTTAGTCACATGAGAGAACACATTCGAAAAGTTAAAACTAAAAACAGAGAACATATTTGGACACTCAGAAAACTACCAGACATTTAAAAAAAAACTGAAAACCTATTGCTTGTGATTTTTTACATGTTGCCAGCATTGAGACTATCATGACGTACACTTATCCCTGTCCTTTCCAAGCTTCATAATTTTCATTCAAAATGTGCAAAGTGGAAAGAAAAAGACTCTTAACATCTTCAATTATGTTGTTAGGTTTCCTGCATGCTTGGATAGGTATGTCCATAAAGTTAATATTACTCTAGTTCTAGGAGTTAGGTGTTTCTCCTCTTTGTCTAACCTATTCATTACTACCTTAACAGTTGGTTTTCTACCTTAAAAAAAGAGTAGGTTTTTTATAGGGAATCTGAATTTTTCACCTTGACCAACCATAGTATCAATCTTCCCCAGCCTAAAAAATTTCTGTACTGGAATACAAGTCAAACAAAGCAGCTGTATAATTGTTAAACCAAACATCGAATCTACCAATGTACACTCACATGGAATCCTCAAGAAAATAGAAATCTTTTAGAGTAAGTAAAAGTGGCAAAACTTCCTTCAGTTGAAAATAAATCTCATGTAGCTGTAAACGTAGTACTACTCAGTACCGAGAAAATAGTTTTGTTTTCTGAACCAAAGGGAAAAAAATGCTTATTGAAGGCATTGCATAAACAAATAAATTAAAATTAGTAATACCTTGGCACAAAGCACTTGCAAAGTAACCTTTTGCTGTTGATCCTCAGATGAGAACATGGCAGCAGTTGCTTCTCTTCCTAGTACCATCATTGAGGATTTAAGCTCATTCGATCTTTCTTCTGCATGCTTAAGCTTCATGTAGCTTTCCGCAGATATATCAGATTCCCTGGTCTTCGATCTACGTCACAAAACTTCTGCTTCCTGTTTGTGAAAAAAAAAATGGCTGACAATAAATCTACATATAGAAAAAAGAATTAAGAATAAAACCAAAAGTTATAGAAAAGACATGAAACATTTTTATAGGTTACATACTTGAGAGTCAAAAAAGCATTTAACTCGTTACATATTTCTTTTGGGATAAGTAGGGAGTATAACAGTAATTTTTCTTATTAACATGTTGATGGAAAAATACCATGCATATCCTGTCAGTGAACACAAAAACTTCTTTTTATAAGAATTAACTAAATAAACTTTTCATGAATTGGCTGGTCCGCATAATGACATAGTTCGAGAAATTACAGTAGAAGGAAGTCAGCGAAGTCCATGCCACAGTTCTACTACCTTTTCTGGTCATTGGTATAACCAACCAAAATTCACAGAGGCCTAGATTCCAACAGTTGACATTAGTTCTCCAAATGTTAAAACAAAGAAATACCTGAGCTTCAACCTCTTGATGGAATCTGTCATAACGGTGGGTCAAATGCCTTGCATTCTCTAAAGGAGCTCCCATAATTAATGCACGTAGTGGCTCAGAAACCTACATATTTTAAACCTGTAACACAATTAGGAACATGAACATAAAAAATAAACATAAAAAAGAGGGGGAAAATCAATGCTCGGATACAAAAAAATGTTATCTTAAATTTCCAGCACTATTCATGGCAATCCTTAACATCATTTGCATCCTTGGCATGTTTTAAACAAGGAGAATGACAAATAATCTACATATGGTCAAAATGAAAAAAAAAAATTGGAAACCCACTTCAAGTTTGCAAGCAACAGCGATCACATGATAACAAGTTATAACTTACTTCGGAAAAGCTATACATAAGATAAGTACTTATTCAACCAAACATTTTGATACAAAAGAATGCAGGTGTTTGGGAAGGCAGCAGGAGACTGGTTTTACAAGTACTAGAAATCTCGTTTGTGAAACAATAAAGCAAGAATTTTTTTCGCTTCTAATCCATAAATGTCTAAAATCAACAACGGGCCTCAATCGTTCTATCTTGCAATCTGCATCACATCCTTTAGAAAACATCCTTGCATGGACCTCTGTTTCTGGATCCTGCAGGCTGCAACCCAGCAATTTCAAGGTAGCTTGTACTGTAGAGTTGGAAACTCAAATTCATCGCGCTCTTATTTTTCTTTTCTTCTGCTCTCAATCCGCAATTCTCGTTTCTAATTAATGCCAGAGGCTTCACAGCAGCCATTGCTTCTGCTAACCAAGCATGTAGGAAGTCCAATTTATTCTTGAAGCTGTTGAACTATAATAACTATAAAAGTAATAACATAAAAATCCTCGCAAATAAGCTTTAAAAATTTTATTCATTATCTATCCTTATTTATTTATAGCACAAAACAGCTTCACATAGAATTTGTTCATGAGAGCAAACTATACACATAATATTGAAATAATGTTTAGTTTCATTAATTGAAGATAATGCCTAAGGGGATCATAAGCTGAATAAATTAGTGAAAACACTGCCTAATAAGACAAACTCAGAATACATTGGCACATGCATTGCAGTCTCTAAATGTCTCATTTATTACAATTAAGAATACCTATACTTTCCTCTCTACAAAAGTTCCCTATGAACAATTAGTATATAGTAATAAAGTTAAGAAATTACCTTCTCACCAAGGATCCCAAGCAAGGCCTCCCTTTCATCTTCCATTGATTTATGTGACTTACCAAAGTAAAGGGCAGCTCTTGCAAGAGGTGAACCGGTATTTTCATTTTCAGCTCTATACTTGCAACAATCATCAGCCAACTTCCTAGCTAAAATAGTCGAGGTGAAACAGTACGAATCAGCTTTGTACAGGGATCAACATGCAGCAAAATTACCCTACCATGCATTACCTATTTCTATCAGCTTCGTGCTTGTTGCAATAAAATCTTCTATGCCACGGACAATGTTACGCTGCAAATGCTACAAGCATAGTTTATAAGTCTAAGTTGATCAAGTTAAAAGTTAAAACACTTTATTAGAAGTAGAACTGGTTGAGAAAGGACTGAAGAATGTACCTTAGCCACCTTAGTAGAAATGTACAGATCTTGAAGCTTTTGATGACATTGAAGTTCAGCTTCATCGACAGTAATGTCTTCATTACTAAAATGTCCAAGATGCCTTAGTACCGCCTACATGGTAAGAGAGGATTGAACCAAAGATTTGTGAAAAATACCTTAGTCCATTGTGGATGAAGCTACAGACAACCAGTGATGAGAAACATAATGGGACTGATTTTAATCTTAACATTTCTATGACATCATTGACACAAAGATGCCAATAAAACTGAGGATTAAACACAAAAATCCCAAATTTGTCATGGTGATTATATTTTCCTCAAAAAAAGAGAGGTGGACATAGATAGTTGCTTGGATATGCAATAGTATGAATAAGAAGTCTCCTTGGAAGCAATAAATTGAATGATTTTCTTGGGCTTAAGACTGAAGAAAAATTATACCTTTAAGCGGAGGCAAGGGGAAAGTGTCATACTGTACTTACATCAGAAAGGTCAAAATCTTTTTGGGTTTGAGATTATTTTATGTTTATTTGATGTAAACTACATAAATAGTCACTTAAGTTTTAGGTTTCTTGCATTTTGGTCACTGAAATTTTAGAACTTGTGATATTAATTGCATACAAGCTTCTCTGGGTAAGATTCCATCATAATGGTTTGAAGAACATATTCACCTATTTTCATGGCCAGAGCACTGTATAACTTACTTATCTCGAATATCAATCTACAAACCAAGGCATCCACAGTGGCAAAGGAGTGATGATGGAGATGAAAGTTCATAATCAGATTTCAGAAGTGGTTCCTTCAGAAATGTACACGATATTTCTTTGAACATGAAGTTTTATTTGGAAGAGGATGGGAGTGGAGATAGTGGAAATGATAATTCTTTAAGTGAAGCTACGCTGCAGTGCTATTTTAAGTTTCATCTATTATTGTGCCATTTAGCGATGTAGTAGTAGGTGAAGCTTGAAACAATAAATCAAGGAGATGTGCTCGTTGACGGTGTATTCTACGGTGAATGAGAGGTCCACTTAAGGCGTGAAAACTGGGTTTTTTCAGTTATTTGGATGCACTTAAGCTGCAAGAGAAGTTGGTATCTGATAGAAATTTATGCAGGAAGGGTGAGTGATCAAGTTAAGTCGAATAGAGTTAAAAAATTTAGAGCTATTTGAGTTGACGAGCCATATTTTACAACTCGAACTTAACTTGAAATATTTTCGAGTCAAGTTATTCGAGTTTCTATACTAATTTTATTATAATTATTTAAAGTATTATAGGAAGGATTTATTCTAATTTTGTGACTTTATTTAACCATATAAAATATATATATTATTCTTTTCACATTATAATACTATTAATATATCAAATACAATTTAAATTATAAAATATATTTATAATATTATATTTTAAATAAATATTTTGAGGGTAAAATATTGATTAGAGTATAAAGGAGACAAAGGATGATAGAAAGAAAGAATTTGCGAACAATTGTAGTCAAAAGACCAAATTAAGTAAAATGCAAATTTAAAGGGCTAAATAAAAAAGAGATTACATTTTTAGTAAAAGAAGAATTGAAGCTACTTAGGTATTCTATTATGGTATATGAGTATGTGGTTCAAATTTGGTAAAAATAGACTTAAAATAAAGGATGAATTGAAAAAATAAAGAAATTACAAAAAATTGAGGGACTAAATTAAAAAATAAAAAGTTTGTTATCAAAAAGAGGAATTGAAAATATAATTGTATTCTACAATGACTTAAGAGTGTATCATTCAAATTTAGTAAAACAGGACTTAAAAGAAATAAAAAATTAAAGGAATAATAAAATCAGAGATTAAATTGTAAAAATATTAAAATAATTAGTCATGTTTTCATTTTTTTTAAGTAACCTGAAATTTTAAAATTTCAACTCGAGTCGACTCGAAAACCGAATTGATAATTAAAATTGATTCAAATGACTCGAATAACTTAATTCTAAAAAAAATTGATTTTTTGAATTAATCAATTTTTATCACCCTAATAATACTTACATGTCCGTACAACATACATCAACATATACACTTGGAAAACGACAAACCCATCACGTGTTAATAATATAAAATTTTTGTATAGGTGAATATAGATAAAATTGTTGTATTTAATCGAAATAAAAGAAGGTTGCGATACGTTGAACTTAAAAAAATATTCTATACAAATTACATATATTAGTTTAAATAACGTACGCAATTTTTTTATGTTTTCTTTTACATTTACGTATGCTTACACGTATCAGAGTCATGGCCATTTGATGAACCACATCAACCACATCAACTCACTGCTAAGATTTTCCCCGCCCAACCTTATCCAGCACATAGATATTAGTGGACGTAATATTTTCTATTTTAGAAAATGGAAAAATACGCAGATAATTGTTTTAATCACATTTTATTTAATTTGTATTTTTGTGGTTCAGTATTAACGAATGTAAGTCGCTGTCGTAGTGTCGTGTGATGGATCAAGTCCAGAAAGGCATTGGAAGAAGAAAGTGAGAAACTATGGCTCAAGCGATCGGAAAAGTGTGTGTGACCGGAGCCGGAGGGTACCTTGGGTCTTGGGTTGTGAAGCATCTTCTCTCCAACAACTACGTCGTCCACGGCACCGTCAGGCAACCTGGTTGGTTCTTATTTCTACTGGCTCAACAACCGCACCTTCTATTTTTACATTTCTTGTCACTTGATTTGTTGGATTTTTGGCAGGGGATGCCAAATATGCACATTTGAATCAGCTTGAGAAAACATCTGACAACCTCAAACTCTTCAAGGCGGATGTATTGGATTACGATTCTCTTTGTTCCGCCATTGCCGGCTGCACCGGTGTCTTCCACGTTGCCTCTCCCGTTCCCTCCTCCTCCGTTCCTAATCCACAGGCAAGAAGAAACCCCACCCTCAAATTCTTCGTTCATTAACTACTTTTTCTTAATTTTTTTTCTTACTTTTTTCTACTGTTAATAGAGCCATTGAGCTTTTTCTGCGGCATATCGAGAGCCTTGTACATGCACGCGTCCCCCCAATTAAAAAGCTAAAAGATAACTATTCCTACTTCCACTACAACAGCTAGGGCTGTAAACCGAGGCAAGCTTTGAGCTCAAACTCAAAATCAAAATTTAAGGCTTGATTCCTTTCAAAAAGCTCACGAGTTTAAATTATTTTTTTTCAACTCGAAATTAAAAATTGAAACTCAAATACAACTTGAAAAAATTTAAACTCGAAATATTATCAAACTTAATGCCATTGAAGCTCAAATATGTGTTTGAACATGAGCCTTCATGAAAGTCTTAAATTGTATTTAAAAAACAACATATAAATTCTAATATTATCAATAATTTTATTTTAAAAAACTAAAAATTTGATGTCATATTTTTTCGAGTTACTCATGAATTTTTTGAGTCAAATATTATGTAGCTCGCTCGGCTCATTAAAAATTTAAGTCGAGTTTGATTAAAGTATTGATCAAGTTTTGATTGAATTGAACTCGAGTAGCTTGTTATCTTACTTATTTACAGCCCTAACAAGAACATCCCATACACTGGCTCTGCCCCTAGCTAGCTATAGTTTTAGTCGTGGATTTGACTTGGACTAATGGCTTTAGTTTTGAAATCATAGACATCATCATCACCATGTATTTTTCCATACGGCTGCTCACAATAATCCAAAGACTTCTCGTTTACAGGTTGAGTTGATTGAACCGGCAGTAAAGGGCACACTTAATGTGCTTAAAGCATGTCTTGAAGCCAATGTTAAACGAGTTGTTTTCGTGTCCTCTGTGGCTGCTATTCTCTTGAACCCTAGGTGGCCCCAGGGTCAGATCATGGATGAGGCCTGCTGGTCTGACAAGGAATATTGTGCATCAACAAACGTATGTGACTCATTACACAAGTGTGATACTTCCTGATATTCCTTTTCACTGTTAATAAACAAACGTCTTGTTTAATTGTTTGTTCCCAGAATTGGTATTGCCTTTCAAAAACAGAAGCAGAGAGTGTGGCTTTTGAGTTTGCCAGAAGGTCCGGCCTTGATGTTGTTTCTGTTTGTCCCACTCTCATATTGGGGCCGCTAATGCAGTCCACCATCAATGCGAGTAGCTTGGTTCTCATTAAAACTTTAAAAGGTTGTATTGTGTCGACTCTTACCAGGCCTAGATTGGCATTTTGTTCTATCCATTTCTATTCTGATACTGTTTGCTGTTTGGTTTTCCATTGTATTGTGTTGATTCACAGAAGGATACGAGTCTCAAGAAAACAGAGATCGAAGCATAGTTGATGTGCGCGATGTGGCTCAGGCATTGCTTCTGGCGTATGAGAAGCCAGAGGCCGAAGGAAGGTACCTATGCACGGCTCACAGGATCAAAGCACGCGACCTTGCTGATAAGTTGAGAAGTATGTTTCCTCAATACAATTATCCTAAAAGGTACATCTCTTGCAGTAGCAGAACGCCAGAACCTATAGCATCTTCTAGTCTAACCCCTTAGGAGTTAATATGTTGTTTTGCTGCGTATGATTTTCTTCTTCTTTGTGATGTAAAACACTTGTGGATTGGCAGCTTAACCGAGGGAGGGAAGGAAGAACTGCTTTGTTCAGAAAAGTTACAGAAGCTAGGGTGGAGTTATAGGCCCTTGGAAGAAACTCTTGTGGATTCCATTGAGAGCTATAAGAAAGCTGGAATCCTGGATTAAAGTTTAAACCAGTTTTTTGCTTGATTTTCCTTAATCTTGACTGTGTGCTCTACTTTTGTTTTCATGGTGATCCCACTTGTGTTGAACGATTTCAACAGTGTCATATAGCTTGCATGTCTTTTCCTTTCATCATTTGATATTATGAGCTTGCCCAACTATTTTTATAAACTCATCGATTCCTGACCCATGCCAATAAATTAAACAATAAAGATAAGATTTTGAACAATGAAAGTGATGGAATATTATTTTAATTTCATTTAAATATTTAATGTCTCTGCCGTATGTTTATTTATTCATAATGGGTTAGGTGTATAATATAATTAAAAATAATTTATTCTGAATTTGGTGAAGGTGATCTTAAGCATCTTTTCTGTTTATTTGCATTATTTTATTAATAATATTCGAATGATTGGATATAAAGAAATTATAACATATTGATTCTGTTTTCTTAATCAAAAAAAATCTTTTGTTTTTTTCCTCTAACGCAAGTTTATTTCATTTGTCAAAATTAATAAATGGGTAAATTACACAAATGATTATTAATGTTTGAGTCAGTTTTTATTTTTCCCATTGAAGTTTCAAAAGTAATAAATTGGTCACCGATGTTATTGGTTTATAACAAATCGATCACTCGTCGTTAAAGGTCGTTACTATAATAACGGAATACCGATGTGGTACATTAAACTAGTTGACTCGTCACATTTGACCGATTGTTTGACTCTTCTTCTTTTAAACTAATTGACTCATCACGTTTGTCCGACCGTTTGACCCTTCCTGCTCCTCTTCTTCTTCTTCTAAGTAACTTAAATAGATTCTTGACTCTAGTAGAGAAATAAGGCGGAGGAGAAGAGTCAAACAGTATGTCAAACATGTCGAGTTAGCTGATTTAATGTGTCACGTCAGTATTTTGTTACTGCAATAAAGGTTGTTAACGGCAAGTGGCCAGTTTGTTATAAATCAATAATATTAGTAATCAATTTGTTACTTTTAAAACTTCAGTGAGAAAAATAAAAATTTACTCAATTATTAGTGATCGTTTGTGTAATTTACCCTTAATAAATATGGTGAATGGTCACACAATCGGTCACCAATCCTTTCATCCTTTAATATTATTTTCCCCATATTTTTCATAGTAAATGGAAGGAATGATAAACCGAAAGAAAGTGATTATGCGTGGCAAGATCGACCTTGAATTTCTTACCTAAGAAGTCTCTTTTTCATTTATGATTATTCTCAAATTTCTAATCTTTTAATCAAATTAAAAAATGTTAACTATATAATTGATCGCTTATGTTTGTATTTTATTCACTTTTTATTATTGATTTTAAAAAAAACATATTATGATCACTTTCGTTTTTATTTAATTAAGATGTGGTCGTCACGGGTTAACTGTCGTCAATAGTTAACAACTTAAGTGATGACGTAACAGTTAAATGTTCTAATATAATTACACATTTAATCTCAATTATTTACATATTCTCTCAATTTAATATTACTTTTAATAAATTATTCAGCACAAGACCGTCCATAATCACAGTCAATAGCAATAAAAACACAAAACGGAGGTGGATAGTTTTGTGACAACCATCCAGTGGGTAGCCATTCCTTGTATAAACAAAACTGCTATGAAAACATAAATATAAGGTAAATAGGTGTGTAATGTTTGCCACAGAATGAATAGACATTCCTCATGCAGTGACGAGGAGATCAAAAAACATAATATGTTATGAATATGTTAATGTGCTAACGGAGAACAGCCTAATCAGCACAGGATCGTCCATAAGCAGCTTAATAACATGAAAAATACAAGATGAAGAGTAAGATTTCCATGTATCAGCCACAAACTGAGATAGCCTTCATCGTATAATCAACAAGGAAACCTTGAAAGATAAGGCGGCTGTAACACCTTAAATCCGATTGGGCCTAAAGTGTTATATTGGACTGCCGAGGTAACTACTGACTTTTAAAACTCGATCATTTTCATTTAAAAATATGCTATGTGGTACCATGTTAAACATATACAACAGTTATAACAAAATCTATAAATCGAAGCTCCGTGACTCATAATTTAAAACCAAAATAATACAACTTAAGGTTTTCAACTCAAATACATGAATAAGGTTCTATGAATACACATGACCACTAAAGCTATAGTACAGTACTCTAAAAGAGATGCTGAAAGTCTTGCTATGACGGTGCACCACGAACGGCTCGAGCTACTGACATGCGAACGGAAACATCATAACGATGAGCTTACAAAGCCCAACAGCATAATCGCTAATCTAGAGCATCATTATGAGTTCCATAAGCATGCTAAAGACATGATACTAAGCAGTAGGTACATGCATGATCTTAATCAAGTGTTACATACTAAGGGCTCAACTGTTCTATAACTGAAATGTGAGTCTCACGCTTCCGTTAATCCTCTACTAAGGGTCTCGCCATGAGTACACTACTAAAGGGTCTCTAACCCTTATAATTGTAACTACTACGCATTGTCTAAATGTGATACTGACACTCTCGTGCATTATCTAAATGCAACATTGACTTTGCTATGCATTATCTGAATGCGACACTGCTAGTATTTGGTCTCACATAGCTATCAGACACTAGTTAACTGAGGGAACCAAATGTCACATAGCATCATGAAATTTCCACTAACTTGTTAAATGATTTCTTGGTCCTCACATAGTCAATAGATCATGGAGGGGGAACCCGGTGTCACATAGCCTCAGTACAATTCCCGCTCAACTAAATCATTGGCTCGGTCTCATATAGCTGTCAAGCCAAGCTTTAAGGATATTTGTTGTACTAGATTGATGCAACTATACATGCATATCTAAGGGCCCAAAGGACACACAACATAAACATCACTAACTCACTCCTCACTAGTGTTTTACTCTCGCGCCCTAGTTAGCCCCTGAAGTTCTTCGTGTACTGACAATACCTCAATAGGGCAACTAAGGTAGTCTGATTACACTCTAGCATTGCTAGAGCACTAAAGTGAGGTCACCATTTCACTAGCTGCTATCTCACTCGTTCTCTTACCTAGAATGTTATGTGGGGGTTTCTTAGTTTGTTACTGCTGTTAATTTATTAAACAATTTTATTATGGTCATTCATTACTTAAAGGTGTTGTAGACACCCGTTTTTGTCCGGGTTGTAACTTTTTACATTATTATTATTATTATTATTATTATATTAATATTAAATATTAATTTTTATTTACATTTTACAGGCCCAATACACCAAGCACAATAGTAAACAGGCCCAAAATCAAACCTAACCATAATCTACCCTAAACCATAGCCCCTGCTCAGCTGTCGTCGCCTGTTATTGTCCCTTATTTTGTCATCACCGCCTGACACCGTCGCCTGTTAATCAAAACCACTACCGTCACCGCCTGCAATCATCATTGTCTACAGTGAAAGAAAAAATTATCACTATAAAAAAGGAGGTCATTCGAATCAAAAAAGAAAAGAAAAGGGAGAACGGGGAAGAATCGAACAAAAAAAGAATCGAAAAAGGGGATAGAAAAAAAACAAAGGGAAAATGAGGGCTTACCTTCGGTCGGAGTTCCTCGTCGGCGTTCGATGGGTTAGATCGTAGATTGGGGCGGTGAGGAGGTGCGCACGGGTGAAGGGAGAAACATATTCCAAAATCGAGTCGATCCAACAGTCGGATTAAGAGATTGGAGAGAGAGAAAGATAAATAGTTTCAGCCTCGATTCGTCGACATCGAGACATTTTCTTCAAAATCGGACCCGATATCCGTGCTCAGGACATTATAACAAAACTCCCCATAAAATTTGGAGCCCAACGGCCACCGGAGGACAACGGCTGGCAGCGGAGTCACTCGCTGGAGTCTGGAGCATATAGAAATGAGAGGGAGAGAGAAGAAAAAATGAGAAAAAATGAAATAAAAAAAGTAGAAAGGGTTATATAGCATCGACGAAACGACGTCGTTTTGGGCATGCCAACCTGTGTATTTCGGGCTTCTATAGGATAACCCCTTCCGCCATACGTTCAGGTTTTTCAATGTTTCAATTTGGTCCTTAATCGCACGAATTTGCTTATGTTCTTTGTAATTTGGCCCCTAAAATTTCAATATATGCAATATGGTCACTAAACGAAATCCACACTTTCGTATCTCAAGCCTTCAATTTCACACACGTTTCATTTTAGTCCCTATTGCATGTGATTTTAATTTCATATTGATATCACATTTAACTTGCAACTTTAATATTTTTATTTTTTAGTCACTATTTTTCTAATGATTGAATATTCTTGTGGAATTATTGCCTGTGTAGCTCTTGTATTTTCTTCACTGTTAGGATTCGTTTCTTCATATTAACCTTAAATATTTTTGATTAAGTTATAATTATGTTGATCTAATATGTGTTTGCTGTGCATTAATTTATGTTTGTTAAATATATGTATACAATATAGTAATGCACCTATAAATTACATTTATTATATACTCGCGTATAAATGTATACATTGTTTAAGGTAATAATTTGTTTATTTGTTACTCATATATTTTATTTCGAATACCAAAATCTGTTTAATATTTTAATATTTATGAAATCTTTGGTTGCTCAACTAATCTATAGAAGACCTCCAAAAACTTGGGGTGTCCTGCTGAGGGTTATTCGAATAAAAAATAATTTTTTAATATTTATTTATGTTTTTGATATATTAAGTTAATTAAAATATTTTTTATGTTTTTTAGTGAAATTATTCTATTAAAATAAATATTTATTGTTGGTTTCATTTATTTTTCCATTTGTCTTGTGTCGTAAGTTAATGAAATTACGTCCAACATGATTGGATTTCAATTTCTGTTAATACACGTAGTAAGAGAACATACTTTTTAAATAAAATTAAGTGAATTAAACCACCTTTTATCGAGTCAAGTATTTTATAAATAAATTCACTCATTTTTTCATCGAAATAAAAGGATCGTAACTTAAATATTGAATTCAAATTTGTAAAATCCCGCTATTTTGACAACATATAATTAAAGGTACTAATTTTGGGCTATGTGGGAGTGCTAACCCTTCACCATGCATAACCGACTAACGAATCCTTAAAAATGAATTTCTAGTTAACACGCAGACCAATTTTTATCTTAAAAACG